GGCTGAGAAAAGCGCACTGGAGTGCTGAACCCCCCCTGTTCCACGGTGGACTGCGAGACCTGGGCGCTGCTGGAATCTCTTCTGCAGGCCCCGCCACGACCTGACCCTGCTTGGGCGCACCAGCCACTGCCCGCAACGGAACCCCAGCCTTTCAGTTTCGTCTTGTCAACACTCGCTGCGCCCAATCACTAGCCGCTGACAACAACATCCTCGCTGCATCGCTCATCTAAAAAAAGCATCGACAAGGCTCAATAGTCGGAAGCGCTGAGCTGCATCGCGGCGGATCATCGTATCTTTTTTTCCTTTCATCTTACATTTCTGTTTGCTGGGCTTTGGCCGCTTTGGGAGCGATAGCATCATCAGCCACTAGAACGAGCACGACGATTTGTGCGCACCTTTTAGCGACAACATACCCCGATCATTTGTTTTTTTTTTTGGCCGCATTGGACGAATAAGCCGGTCTCGCGCTGTCGTTTGCAGACTGCCACGTCATAACGAGCTGCGGTTTTGGGAATTTTGGGAAATGATGGATTGTTGTTATTGAACGGTTATGCCTCCGCCCAATTGATGTCGCGACCGGCCACGACGAACCTATCCGAGAGACTGAAAATCAGTTTAGCCACGCTACCCGAGCGGCCCTGCATGCCGCTTTGTTTACAACGCGCGATTACAACCCAAACGATCACAAGTACGCAGTAGACGCATTAGAACAGCACAGTTGACCAAAATTATGGAGCCGCTGCGGTTAAAGCCCAGACAGCCAGTGGAGGCTGAGGTAGAGAACTGGGACGATGAAGATTTTATTGTAGACGGCGATGAGTTGAGCCTACGGCCTACGAGCACCGCTGTCACTACCAATGCACAACCACGTCGACGCGATTCCACTTCGTCCCACATTTCGCTGCGCTCCGATCTGGACTCTTTGCATGGGGAGGAACAACACGTCCACCTCCCAGCCGACGATGAGCGATCTACCATGGCTGCCATAGCCGCCGCCGAGAGGGCTGGAATTCCCTTGCCCAAGAATGTGCCGTCGTCTGCATTGACCGGAGGCACGATCAAGAGGCTGGGTGGGAAGAAGGGCCGCCGGATTATTGACGAAGACTGGGAAAACGACCTAGAGCTGCCCGAAGGGCACCAAAGCTTCCAAATGAAGCCTCGAACCCAGGCCGACTTCCCCGAGACTCTGCGCAAGGTCAGCGCAGGGTCGATGCAGAGCTCGATGCAGAATAGCCCCAAGAAGGCGCCAAAATCCGCCAGAGATAGCCGAAGAAGCTCCATCATGTCAACCTCGAGCGTCCTGTCGGCCGCGCTCAGCCTGGACAAGTTTAGGGACACGGAAGACGAAGACGAAGACTTCTTTGGCGATGGCCTTGACACAATCAAAGTTGCCAAGAGCCGACCACCTCGGCTGATGCCCTTTGTCACGCCTCCAACCCCCGTTGCGCCTGAGCTGTCAATAGAGCCACTAGACGATGACTTTGAAAGAGATCTGGAGCTGCCATCTGACGGCAAACTGAAGCTGTCTGCTAGAAGAGACATCCCCAAGGCGCCGTTTTCACTATCAGAGGATATAGACTGGGGTGAGGGCAGCAGCCTTGGCACTAGATATGGAGGCACTCGACGAGATGCGAGGTCGACTAGGAGTTCGTCGGTCTCGGCTATGAGCCCGAGTCTCTCCAGCACGTTCACCGTGGAGAGCGAAGACGAGACATTCGACGGCCTTGTATTACCTCCCGGCCATCTCAATTTCCAAGAGAGACTGCAGCTGCGCAAGACAAACCCACCGCCGGAAGATATCCCGGAGGAGCCACCTGCCGAAGCACCAGCACCCCCAAAGAAGAGACTCCCTGCCCCAGAAGTGGAGCAGCAAGACTTCATGGAGGGGCTTGACATTGGCGACGGTAATGTGTTTGACTCTGGGAAACTCACAATGCATCGGAATATCAAGATCAAGGATAGCCGCCTGGCGAACCCTGCTAGGCCAAAGGCGGCCGTGTCGTTGACATTCAGCAACAAGCCCGTGCCGCCACAAACGAGGATTCCACGCCTGAACCACGAGAGATCCCATTCCACGGCTCTCGAGCCTGTGTCAGAGAGTGGTGGCCCGATCACACATCGAGTTCGTCGACCGCAATCTCGTGTTGGCCATTCTAATCAACTATCGGTCACAAGTCTGCCAACGCCTACTACTACTACCTTTTCTGCTGCCCCAGCTCCTCGCAGAGCGGAATTGTCCCGACCTCCCTTTTCTGTTAGAAACGAGCCACCTACGACAAATGCCCAACTACTCAGGCAGAAGCGGTCTCTGGCGGCTGTTCGAGCTCGAAACCCTCCTGCTGCTAAACCTTTGGCGGCACGGCTAGAGAGACCATCTTCACGTACAGAGACCCGGCCCAAGACGCCGCAGGATCGACAACAGGCTATCAGCCACGGGAGCCCTGGTCAGCGGAAGAGCTCGATACCCTTTCTTCCCGCAGGGGCTTCTCACCTGCAGTCGCAGCACGCTGCTTCCAAAACTGTGCGAGGATTGCGTCGCTTTGATTCCGACACCACAATCGAAACACGTCCTACATCCAGAACATTGGCAAGGCCAGGCCTGCGATCGCCTAGTCCACACCGTTACAAAGTGGCTGCCGATACGTGGGAGCGCCTAAGCAGACCAAAGGGCAAACGGCACTTTGGCGATGGCCATGAACTGGATGCCTTTGATGATCTACCGACTTCAAAGGAGACGGAGAGTCGGTTTTTGAAACAGCCTTCTGCCAGCAACCCCAACAAACGGAGAGCATACCAGGTGCCGCCGCCATCACAACCTCCTGCGCAAGTGGATAGAAATAAAACGCCCTCTCCATGGAAGGCGGCACCAGGGCCGGCGATGCGAGGCGCATATACCCCCAGCTTTGCACGAGACACTGCGGCTAGCCGTATTGCTCGCGAGACAGCTCTAGCCCATCGGACGCCGAGCGGCGGCCCGTTGGCTTCAGTGTCTGCCCAACGAGCGCCGACGAGAAGCAATACTCAGCAGCCATCTCATTTGGCGCAGCCTGCCAACCGAACCAGAAGACCGAAACGACCCCAGCAACTGAAACCACACCTTATCGCAAACCTGAACGGCGGTAAGGAGTCTAAAGGTATGTATTTTTTTTTTCATCGTACTCAACATCAAAGCTGGTGACTGACATTCAACTTCTTTTAGTCGTCAAAGGCATGTTTTATAATGCCGAGACGTTTTGCTGGGAAGGAAACGAGAATGCTCTCAACGCATTTGACGGATCGAACTCAACACCGTCGTCGAATTCCGTCCCTCCACACCTGGTTCGGGACAAAGAAGCCTCTGTATCTCGACCGGCTCTCATCACCAACATCAGTGGCACTAAAGGTGTGCAGGTGGTTGGTGGCATGGTATTTGATCCTCAAAACATGTGCTGGCTCAAACTCGGCCCTCAGAACATGACGGCATCCGAGGCTACCGACAGCCTGGATAACTTCACCGGCTTTGAAGAAGAGGAGGATGTCTTCAAAGATATTCCGGATCTCGAAGACACGACTGTCACTGACGCACAGGAGGGTGGTCAAGCCAGTGACATTAAGGATGACTGGCTGGTGGGCGAAGAGTTTGACGTCGGCCCTGAATTCATCCGAAGGCAGCGTGAAGAAGAGGAGAGGTGGCGGAAGAAGTGTGAGAAGTGGACGAACCACAGCCCCCGAGACCGAGATGCTTGGCGATGGACTATTCGCGAACTCGTGTCACAATTTGACGACTTTGCGGTGCCGAGCGTAGCTAGGTAAGACCAGATGCTATGCAAACGCTCTAACCTAAGCAAATGCTCTCACCCTTCAAAAGAAACCCTTGCTCGCTTTGTCACTTTGGTGGATGTTTTATGATTTTTAATCTTTCATCTTCTCTTCTATTTTGCTGTCGCTGTCCTTGTTCTGCTGCTATCTAGTGGCTTTGCAATGCATCTATTTAATACGACTGATTTCATCCCCAGCGAATATGTATCGGAGAGGAAAGGGGTTCAAGAGGATACAGCGTTGCTTGTTTGTGTTTTTATCGTTTGATCGTTTTGCTGTTTGCCCTGTTTGTTTCTTCTTCTTCTTCTTTTTTTTTTTTTTGCTTTTATCTTAGGGCGTTTGAGGGAAGGGAGCTGTATTTGGTTCAACGACGGACTGGGGCGCGAAATTAACGACTTGGAGGGCAATATTTATCATGGGAAAAATATCGCGAATAGAGAAAAAAACACGGTCACGGCGTGCAAAATCGCCGGTAGAGAGTTTTTTTAATGACGAAACGACGGATTATGACATGGGAATATGGATGAAATAGTTTCTTTTTTTTTCTTCTTAATATGTTTTATGAAGAATGGAATTTATGTATCAGTACTGTTACTTAGTGGGTTGGTTGGTTGGTTGGGTGGTTGGAGAGAGAGATGGTTTAATTGTTAGTGTGTAAATTTTAAGAGTGCGAATGTTTTGTTGCTTGTTTAAAGAGATGACCCTATTTTTGAGCGTGACAGTTGTTTGATAACAACATGACGTGAATTGTCTCATAACAGCAGCTTTGTCTCGGGAGCTGGCCATTGCCTTGCCTGGTGTTTGTGTGTTGGATGGTGGCGGGGTTTGAGTCGATCCCACGTGATTCAACTCTTTGAGCTCCCAAGCTTCAGTGTCATCGACCGTGTACCTTTGTACTTGCCTAGACTCCAACGACGAGCTTCAATTTGGAGAATTAAGCCTCCCTAGATTCTACCAGCCGGATAGGTCTTTTTGATATCGAGCGCCTTATATATTCGAAAGACACGTCTTCATTTCTTTGAGCAATCTATAAAAGACTCTATCGCCCAGAGCGAAGCAGAGCACCCCGCCAAACCCCTCCCCTCAACCTCTTGCGACAAAAACGATCGTCTACAACGCAGAAGAGCAATAACCAAGTCGCATACCTCTTTGAATCAATTTATACACTTGAAATCGAGAAAGAACAACATCATTCGCTCACGATGGCTGAAGTCGCTTTCGCAAAGACGTTTCTCACGTCGCTCGACTCCCGTCCCATCAAGCTCTCTCCAGATCACATCGAGGATCCCAAGACATTTCCTCCTCGCCCTCCCGTACGTCCAAAGCCTCACACTCAAGTCAATAAACCTCTCTTGGACAAGATCTAACTCTAAGAAATATCTGCAGTATATCCTCCCCCGCATGCCAACGCCCATGTCCAAACCCTTCGCCCGCTCCGCCCCCGGCCAAGAACCAAGCATATCCGTCTCCCTCAAGTCCCTGCGCAACCCGCCCCTCGACATCACCCTCTCCGCCCTGCCTCTCAGCACGTCCGTTCTCGACGTCAAGGCCGCCGTGCAGGAGCAGACGCGCATCCCCATCGACAAGATGAAGCTGCTGCTCAACAAGCGGCCCGTCGTCGACAGCAAGGTGCTCAAGGAGCTGCGCGCCAGCGAGGCCGATCGGACGATTGAGTTTTCCGTCATGGTGATTGGTGGCGCGGCGGCGATTCCGCCGGCGCCTGAAGTAGAGATGACGGAGGATGTGCCTGTTTCGACGGCCCAGGCGGATGAGGCGACGGTGGAGGCGGAGCTAGAGGCGGAAGCTTTCTGGGCGGATTTGAAGGGCTTCTTGCAGCAGCGGCTTAAGGCTCAGGGCAAGGGCGAGGAGCTGGCGAACTTGTTTAGATCGAGCTGGCAGACAAGCAGATCAAGTTCTTGAGATTTACAACGGGCATGAAAACAAGAAAACATTGGTTTCCCTATTAGCATCTTCTTTTCTTAATAGAGCATACTTTTCCATTTTCGTTCATGCAGCAAAACTGATTTCACCGGTGCATACACATTCCCACACCTCCTGTACAAAAGACGAGTCCGATTTTTCTCTCGAGTACGGTATGAATCATCATCTGTAGCGCTAGCACATCTGAAAAATTACCTATGCCTATCCATCGAATAAACACAATTCCCCCTTTGCATCACTCCCATTCTAATCGAAGTACACGGCGGTGCCTCCCTTCTTTTACTTTCCACTTTCGTAGCTATCCCTCTCTCCTCCTTTACAGTTGGATTAAGATTGTCGCGTGTTTGGTTCGCTTATGCGTTAATCTTGGCAAGGACGGCGTTGAGGATGGAGCTGTGCTCAAGGTCGTCAGAGTCGTTGGCCTGAATCTCATAGGCGAAGCCCTCGAGGGATCGCTTGAGAGCCTCCTTGGAAGCGGCGTAAATCATCTTGGGCTGTTTGTTCGTGTCAGCAAGAAAAGGTGCATTGTCAGAAATAGAATAAGAGCAATCAAAGAGGTAAAACATACGTGGACACCGGCATCATCGGGAGACCAGGCAATGAGAATGATCTTGTTGCTGTATTGCATGCACTGTCAATAACCGCGGCAGATTTAGTGGGGGTGGACATCGGGCTGACGTACATGTCTCGGCCGTCAAACTTGAAGCCAAAGTCGTAGACAGCGTAGCGGGGTCCCTTTCCAACAGCACCCTAGCATTCGCACCAAGTTAGCTGTTATTCTGGCGTGCGTATGAATTCTTTTGGGGATTTTTCGGGGTGAGACAAACAGTCTTGCTCTTGGAGGTGGCGTTGAGAAGCTTCTCACGGAAGTTCTCCCAGTCGCTGTCGGCTTCAGCGTGCTCGACCTGGATCTCGGAGTAGTCGTCGGACAGCTTGAAGATGATGTATCGCAGCACTCTGTTCTTGTCGTTGCTGCGCTTCAGGTTCTGGAAAGCCTCCGAGACCTCGGGGGAAACCTTGGCTCTGCACGATGTTAGCTCCACCAATCCCTACTGAGCGTTGCTCCTTGTGTATTCTCTCTCCATTCCCCCGTGATTTTGAATCTTCTATTAATGCCAAAGCTCCCGCACTGCTCCACGGTGTCCGCCGTCGTTCGAAGTATTGAAACAACGTGGCGTGGTGGGCGACAAATCGAAGCGGAGAGCTGATAAGGCGTGGACAGGTAACGGCGAAAAGGAGAGGGGCGAAAAACGTACCCTGATTGAGACTACAAGAAGACAACGCGGTCAGCATTTAACAGAAACATTAAAAGAAGCTGTAAGCTTCTCAAAGCCATCAGCAAGAGACTTACCATTTTTGCGACTTGGTTGTTGAGCTGCGGTGTAGAGAAGAAAAGGAGGGGTGATGAGCTGATGAAGGTTCTCCTGTTAGCGATGAGGGGGTTTAATGCGGGAGATTCGTCCGAGCGCCTCTTTAGAACTTGTCCCCCCAAAAAGAGCGTCTAAGAGCAGCTAAGAGACGGTAAAAAAAGGGGCGGGAAAAATGACACAATCAAATTGAAAGGGAATTGGGGAGACGGGGAGCTTTCAACTAACACAAGGAGAAGAGTAAAGCAAGGAGGACAAGACGAGGAAAAGAAGATTTGGAAAAAAAGGCGAAAAACGGGGGCTTGAACGATGATGCCAAATTGGTGTGTGACAGCGGGATGGTTTCTGGGAACTTACGCAAGGTTGGAGTGCAAGTGGCAGCGAAATCAAATCAGAGGCGGGGTGCTATAAAGGGAACGAAGAGAGCTTCCCTCTGTTTTAGTCCACAGTTGGGCCAAAAAGCCAGAAGTGGGGGAGTGTTTTTTTCTTTCGTCGAAGGCGGGAGGGAGGAGCTGCACGTGACTCGGCAGGGAGATTGCAAGAGAGGCAGAGCGAGACCCAGCAGACTGGAGGAGTTTATATGGGGAATTACGTATTGCCACGGGACGAAATGATGTGCGGCGGACCTGGGTGCTGGTGCTGGTGCTGGTGCCTAAGCGGTGCGTATTTGGTTGGCTGGGAGAATGTGGCGAGTGTGCTGCAGACGCGTATTACAGCGGCGTTGCTGTTGGCGGCTGGTTGTTGGTTGGTGCCGAAGCTATATTGAGATTGACCAAGACTCGCAGCTATCTATACGGCAGAAGCTGGAGGATAGCCGCCTTATTAGTAGCTTGACGTCGTCACCGTTGATACAAGGCACCAGCTTTGGCACCACACTAAGGTATCTATTTATCAATGGCTGCCTCAAGGCAACCAGATTTCCTGGTTCCGCAGCTATACATTTATACGCCATGGAATAGTCGCAATTAGCCACGTTTTATACACTTATCGATGGATGTTTAACCGTCGCTTGGTTTCCTGGATGCCTAAACGTGCAATGTATCGTCAAAAACATTTCATTCGTTATTATCCCTTTTTTTGTGATAGTGGTACATGGCCAGAAGCGCTACAATACAATACAAAAACGGCAGCAGCCGCGTCTCCTTACTCTGGAGCAGAGGAAGGCAGACATATAGATGACAAGGTAGATAGGGAGAAAGATAGAGAGCGAGAGGGGAGATGGGTTAGTAGGCCCTTTTGAACCATCCTTCTAGTATAACACCATAACCATGCCCAATCATGTAATACTTTTTTATACAACACTTCCTATGCCTTTTTTTTCTTTCTCTTCGTCTTCTAGTGGCAGCTTACATCATGCCACCCATTCCGCCCATGCCGCCCATGCCACCCATAGGAGGACCAGCAGGTCGCTCCTCAGGGGCCTCGACGATGGCGACCTCGGTGGTACCGAGCAGAGAGGCAACGCCGCTGGCATCAATGAGACCAGTGCGGACAACCTTGAGAGGGTCAAGGATACCGGCCTGGATCATGTCAACGTACTCGCCCTTGGCGCTGTCGAAACCGCGGTTGAAGTCAGAGCCGAACTCGTCGGTGAGCTTGCCAACAACGACAGAGCCCTCGAGACCGGCGTTCTCAATGATGGTGCGGGCAGGGCGGGTGATGGCGTTCTTGACAATGGTGATGCCGAGCTGCTGGTCAAAGTTGGCGGCCTTGACCTCGTTCAGAGCCTGGGCAGAGGCCTTGATCAGGGCAGTACCACCACCGGGGAGGATACCCTCCTCAACGGCAGCACGAGTGGCGTTCAGGGCATCGACGAATCGGTCCTTCTTCTCGCCGACCTCAACCTCGGAAGAGCCACCGACCTTGATGACGGCAACACCGCCAGACAGCTTGGCCAGACGCTCCTGGAGCTTCTCCTTCTCGTACTCAGAGGTGGTGGGGTCGGCAATGACGCCGCGGATCTGCTCGCATCGCTGAGCAATGGAGTCCTTGCTGCCCTCACCGTTGAGGAGGATGGTGTCCTCCTTGGTGATGGTGATGGAGCCAGTAGATCCCAGCATGTCGGGGGTGGCCTTCTCGAGCTTGATGTCAAGATCGTCGCTGAAGACGGTACCGTTGGTCAGGATGGCAAGATCGCCGAGGATGGACTTGCGGTTGTCACCGAAGCCGGGGGCCTTGACGGCGGCGACCTGGAGCTGGCCACGGAGCTTGTTCAGGATGCAGACAGCCAGGGCCTCGCCGTCAATGTCCTCGGCAATGATGACCAGGGGACGGCGGAGCTGGGTAGACGCCTCGAGGGCAGGAATGATGTCCTGAACAGCAGAGATCTTCTTCTCAGAGAGGAGGATCAGAGGGTTCTCGAACTCGACCTTGGCGGACTTGGTATCGGTGATGAAGTAGGGGGAGACGTAACCGCGGTCGAATCGCATACCCTCGGTAACCTCGAGCTCGTCCTGCAGGGTCTTGCCCTCTTTGACGGTAATGACACCCTCCTTGCCGACCTTCTCCATGGCGTTGGCAATCAGCTTGCCGACGTGGTGGTCGCCGTTGGCACTGATGGTGGCAACCTGGGCAACCTCCTCGCTGGTGGTGATGTCGCGGGTGTTCTTCTGCAAAAAGTCGACAACAGAGTCAACGGCAGCCTGGATACCTCGACGCAGGTCCATGGGGTTGCAGCCGGCGGCGACGTTCTTGACGGTCTCGGAGAAGATGGCACGAGCCAGGACGGTGGCACTGGTGGTACCGTCACCAGCAGTCTCGTTGGTCTTGGAAGCAACATCCTGGATCAGCTTGGCACCGAGGTTCTCAAACTTGTCCTTGAGGGCGATGGCCCTGGCGACAGTAACACCGTCTAGAGCAAACAGCATGTCAGCAACCACATCTTTGATATATAAACAGTCAACACTAGAATTCATCTCAGTTCCTACCCTTGGTGATCTTGGGAGAGCCGAAGCTGGACTCAATCAGGACATTTCGGCCCTTGGGTCCCAGAGTGGTAGCGACGGCCTTGGCGAGAGTGTCGGCACCGGCCAAGAGAGAGGCGCGGGCCTCAACACCAAACTTGAGCTCCTATTTCACTCGTTAGCACCATGAAGAGCATTTCGAATCCCAATTGCCTTGTCCTACCTTGTGGGCAAATCGAACTTGCTGACCAAGGCTGCTTCCAGATCGGTACTTATAAGCGCCGGACACGGCCGAGGCGCGGGCACGAGAAGCCAATGCGCGCTGCATTTTGTCTGCTGATTTCTGAAATTGGGGAAAAGAAAAAAAGAACAAGGAAACGGGGGTATCACAAGCCTGAACCAAGACGAGCCAGCCTTCAGAGGAACAGCAGGTTGGAGGAGGAGAGGATCTGGAAACCGCCGGTGGTTAATTGGAGAGCAGCTTGTACGCCCCCAAAAAAATTGTCACGGAGCGTCGGTAAAACATGGATCCTGAGCCGAGCCAGGGCCGAAACCAGCTTAGCGGCGCGGCCAGAGCTGTTCTACCCTCTTCCAGCCGAATCTGTGGACTCTGGGGCCAGAGGTCTTGAGCCGAAATGGATGATTAAGCTGCCGTTGTATTGACATATGGGTAAAGAGAGTCATATCAGAGGGTTATGTCAAGAGAAGTCGTGATTGGAAAGCTAGAGCAGTATGCAACTATGTACTTGCGACTACTTAGAGCTGCTCTCGGTGCTCTGTTTTGAACCCCGCCATGCTCGTATTTCCCCACCATCAGAAGAAAATGTACTTGGTTGTACTGCCAATTCAGCTCTCTCTCACTCTGCCATTTCATCCCGTACTTAGTAAAACCTGCCTCTCATCTATACCGTCTTTTTTTTTGGTATTCTGTTTTCCGAATTTTTTTTGGTGATATGATTGTTTTGTTTCGAAGTCCTATTTAACCATTCCTGGAGCTCATAAAGCTCAAGTTGTTACTCGTAGTTATCATCCCTTGTCTCCTGTAAGCGACGTTTGGGAGGGGGTATCAGTTGTGCGACATAGAGGAAATAAAAGAAATAAAGACATAATAAAATGGAAAAAAGTAAACATTTGGAAAGAAACATTCAAAGAAATCTCCGAATGAAAACGGCCGAATAATCTTTTGGTTGAAGTTCTGGTCAGTATATATGGTTTTTTTTTTGGTGTTCTGTAGATAGCTTCATCTTGCTTGCTTTCATGCATTTGCTGCCAAGAAGAAATGCTGCCGTTGTGTAGCGCGCATAGTCTAGCTCGAGTTAAGAAATTCGAGAAGCAAGTCGCGGCCAAACGGCTCCTCGTTGCTCAAGAGTTCGTTGCAGCCAAACAGCCCGGCGTGACCAAATAGCTCTTCATTGTATGCAAAAGCAGCCTTCAATCATCAGTCTAACTCTCGTTTTGGGGCGGGAGAAGAAGTGGATGAAGAGGAAGTAGATGAAGAAGAGCTGGTACTCACATCAAGCTCGTCAAGCTTCTGCTCCCTTGGACCCTCTGCCATGAGTCGCGAAGTCTCTGGCTGAAACTCGGGGATTTGGCTTTCAATTGGCGAAGAAGCAGGCGAGACTGAGACTTCTCTCTCCTTGATAGCGATTGGGGAGCTCAAAGGGGACTGCTTCTCACCAGACTGCATGGGGACAGCTGGAGCGGGAGGGGAAGGCATAGTGAAACTGTGGGGAGGAATTGGCATAAAGCCTGGCTGGCTCATACCGTAGTAGGCTGCGTATTGGGAATAGAAAGGATTTTCCATGAGGAAGGGCTGCTGGCCGCCTTCACGAGGCACTTGACCGCCAGGACTGACTTGTCCATGACTGGGTCTAACGGGAGGATAAGAGAAGTGTCCCGCAAAAGGATCGAAGATATTGCCTTCACTCATCATTTGCTGAGTCTGCTTCTCAATTGGAGAGGCATTCTTGGAACCTTGAGGCTGCATTCCCTTCTTTTCGTTAGTACTGAATATCAGTAAATGGGGTTTAAAGGAGATGGGACTTACCTCAGTACGCTTGAGCGGGAAATTGGGAGGGGCAATATTGAACAGCTGGGCATCTTCTCTAGCTCCGAGTTGGAAGTTGCGAGCATTCATGCTGGAGTGAGGAGCAGACATAGGGCGACGTGGAGCCGCATATCGGACAGGAGTCGGTGTGATCGGGACTTGACTTTCGTCCTCAACAGTGGAAAACGACAAGTAAGCAGAGTCTTCCTCGTCAACTTCTTCCAATGCATCAAGGGCATCAGGAAGATTGATCTTGGCATCATCCATCTTCTCATCGAAGCGCACAGCTCGAGTGGCATGTTTATCATCCCCAGAGGGATCACGAACGTAGCCCCTGATGCTGGGATCAAAGGGGGCAAGGGGAGACGCCTTTTGAGCGGGAGGAGGAACCATGTGTCCCTCAGCAAGAAGCTCCTTGCGGAGGCGATGAACGTGCTGCAAGACTGCCGCACCTGATGAGCCAGGACGGAGGCGATGAGCAATGGCATCCCACGGAATGTTGACCTTGTGGCGGACGCATTCATAATGAAGGTGGAGAATGAGCTTCTCAGCCATGCGAGGACCTTTTGAAGAGTTAGTAGGTGGAATATGAACGCGTCGGAGACGGAGATTGGTATAAAGATGATTGGAATATTCACTTACGGTTCCACATAATCAGGCTGCGTCCAGTAACTCGTCCATTGCCTTTCTTTTGCTCATCAGTCGGAAGATTGTGGGAATAAGTAGTATCCCGCGAAGCAGAAGTCGGAGTCTTGACTTTCTCAGGATTGGAATTCTGCTCGAGCTTCAATGCCTTGGAAGGCGAGCGACGATCGTGAGCAGCAGTGCGCTTGGAAGGGGTCTTTTTAGCCGGAGTACCCATGATTGCAGTGCAAAGTCGAAATTAGGAGAACTTTGAGGTCTCGTTATAACTAAGAGCAGTTGTTAGAGCTGATTGACAAAGTCACTCGTGTTGGAGATGTGCTAAATTTGGGCAATTGGAGGGAATTGAGAAGGGGAATCGAGGGAAATTCTTCTGCTGAGGGCTCAATTGCTGTGTAAAGCAGCCAAATCATGATGGGAAAAAGCAGTAAAAGAATGAGAATTGGCTACATACACTCCAATGAATTGCTGTTTGTGTGGTTTTGAGCGAAAAGGTAGCTACAATTGGTGGTGATGCCGAGGTTCGTAGCTGGAAATGAAGATGATGAAGAAGAAAAGAAGAGGCAGGGGATGAGAAGTAGAAAGAAGAGACGCAAATGTGAAAAAATGCTTCCCAAAATAAAAGTCCAAATTTTTGTCTTTTCCAAAATTTTTGCTCTACGTCTGGGCGTCATTGCGTGTCTGTTTGGCAGCTGGCAGTTCGGACGAGGCGCGATATCAACTGGAAGTGACAGCCTGTCCCAGTAAGTGGTAGTGTAATTGGTCAGTTAAAAGGCAATGGAACAGCCTCAATACACTTAATTTTTTACTGCTGTATTGTTAGCTGCAGATTGGTGTCATTGTGGGACTGAAAATGTGAAGATTTATTCTTGTCGAGGAGGTTGGTGTTTATCTGGTCGAGGATGTTAGTGGAAGGAGAAGAGATAGCATTTGAGCTAGATTGAGTCGCAGACAAAACTGGTAATCTACATGAGTACATGTAATCTGCCAAAAGAAACCCCTGTGCGCCATGCCCCAGAAAATAATATGCCTGTGATGCCCATATGTAACCAGATATCCCTCGATCATGCCTAACTCCCCACAATTGAGTCTAGTCTGCCCATCTTGTCTACTTTGTAGACTTGAACAGCTTCTTCAAACTGTATCTGAAGCCACGCTTTGTACTCGAGGTAGTGCTGTTGGAGGAGCTATTGCTATGATGCATTGATGGCACTGAAAAGAATTCCAAGCCTCGATGATGACGAGTGCAGTGACTGAAGCTCTCATCGCTGGAGACAGACTGTCTGGTCCCAGAAACATCAGAGACAGAGAGCATGGCCTGCTGTTGAGCATACATGATGTCACGAATAGCTAGCTGAGCTTGTTGCTGGACTGCAGTGTAGACCACTTGGTTGAGGGCCATGGGGAGATTGGTGACGACTTGAGAGAGGTGGCTGACCATGGTAATGGTTGCGGCGAGGTTGTCGGCTTGAGCTCCGATCATGGTGTTCATCGTCTTGGATTGTGTCTTGAACTCTTCGATATTTTGTTCAATCGTTCGATAGTGAAGATCAAGCTGGCGGCTCAATGTGTCATTTTGGTCCCGTATATCGATATTCTCACGGTGAAATGAAACTAGAGATTTCTCCAGTCGACTTGTCAGAGGAGTAACTGCTTCATTTATCTTTTCTTCCACCGCTTGTTCAATAATGGAGTATATGATCTCGCTGGCATTGCTGAAGTCAACATGTGTCGGAGTTACTGGAGTTGATCCCGAATTTGAGGCCCTCTCGGAGAGAATAACATCATCCTGTTCGAGTGTATCCGTCTCGGTGTCTTTGATAGCAGTAAAGAGTGCCTCTAAAGCATTTGGAGCTTTATTCGCAGCAACCAAGCCTGAAGTTGCCCCTGATGTCATAGCAGGAGTGGACTGAGCCGTTGTGTCGTCTGAAGAAACTCGTGCATATCGGATCGGAGACTCGGGAGGAGTAATAAGACCTGTGAAGAGAGGATTCATCTGTTGTATGTAAGCCGCCGGGCATGAAAGAGCGTCTTTGTTGAGAGATTATACCTTGATATTTTCCCTGGAAAGAGAAGTTATTCCAGACACAGTAGAAGGATGGGGCATGATGGCTAGAAGCAGTGGCTTTGAAGGAAGCAAGCTCGGAGATGATTTGTACTTTGTGGGAAATATGCTGGCTGCCGATGGTGGATAGAAAACCTTGATGACGTAGAGAGGATCTGGACGGAAGAGTGGTGATATAAGAGAAGCGAAGTTTTGAGCATCAAAAAAGCAACGATATCAGCAATAGACAATGACAATGTCTATTGTTGTGATGATATTCTTTCTATCGCATTGTCGCCGATATCATCTTTTAACGACAATAGCCAGCTGCTTCTATTCAACAAGTGCTGCCTTTCGTTTGTGGGGCCTCTCCCCCTTTCTGGTCTCGAGGTGCACAAACACGTACACCGAGGCCAGTCGTCGGCAGCTGTAGCCTGTGACCAATTTCAGGTGGTACGAAGACAATAGAGTTGAATACACCTGTTACGCTTTCACAAAGTTTGTCCGACTAGCGGCCTGAGCAAACAGTGAATCACGGTTTGTCCTCTTGATGAGATAACGGAGGGGATTGGGATAGCGATATGGGATTGAACAAGGTCTCAGCGTTCTAGCCATTATAGTGATACTATCTGACTGTAGATACCACTGTAAATGGGACTATCATATCTACAAATCAGACGAGAGAACTACGACGACCGAACCAGACTCCTTGATCTTGTATCGGCAGATTTAGGTTCACACAATACATGTGATTTCACTCTCTCGACATTCATATCCATTGTAGACAATTCAAGTCAAATATTTTCAATTCCAGTGACTTATTGGTTCTTCCCTACGTAAATTCATCTCAAACCAAATGTTCAGGCAATGTCCTGTGTCATATCCTCTCCCGATATTTGGGCTCCCTTTGTTTCTCCAACTGGGCCAGATATGTTTCCAAATCGTAAGAGCTACTCGATGTACTCCTAGAGAAGTAAATAAACATTGCATCACAATGTTGAGCCAAGGCTTGATCTACAGCCGAAGAGCGCGGCCGCAAGAAACCTTAGCCGAGCCAAAGATCTAAGCCGAGTCGAAGCTTGTGCCAGCGTCAGAGTCCGCGCCAGAGTCGGGAGCATCTAGATTAAAAACGTTAGCCAGGTTTATAATAAAGCTGTAAAGGAAGAATAAACGGAAATCAGCTTACCAGAAAGAGGCGACTCGTATTCATCCTTCGGTTCCTTCTTGGGCTCCTTCTTGGGCTCCCTCTTGGGCTCCTTCTTCACGCCCTTGGCAGGCTTGGAGACCAACTTCGGGTCTTTCATATCGTCGTCGCTCTCTTCTTTCTTCGAAGCCTTAGCCTTCTTCTTGGCGCTACCTCCAGAAGCTCCAGCTGGCTTGCGTTTGACCGGGGTAGTCGGGGCCTTGTCATCTCCGGCGTCGGATTTGGCAGCTGTTGGCTTAGAAGAGTTCACTCCATTGGCTTTGAGCATGCGCTCATATCTCTTTTGGCTGCTCAGAAGAAAAGACGAGTTGTTAGACATATCATCGCTAAGTTGGGGTCGGGATAACTTACGCGGCGGCCTTGGTGACGATTCCAAGCTCTTCGGCGACAAGAGTGAAGTCAGGCTGTAGAGGTTTGTTAGAAGAATCTGTTGGAGAGGTATGATAGAGCTGGTCGCCTCTCAACTTACTCTTCCGTTGGTGGTGTGGCCAATGCAGGACACAAGGAAGCGGACTTGCTCAGCTGGATCTTGCTTAGACATGGTGAAAGCTCGATGTGACGTTTGAACCTGCGAACAGTATTAACGATTGAAAATAGTTTGAGACGAAATGATTGTGCGGGTGGCGGTCAAGGATAGGCTGGCAGTGAAGAACAGATGGCATGATAGTCAATGGATGTTGTCACGGGCATACAGAGAAATCTGCAGAGGCATACGACGAGAAATAGATAGGAGACAGAGGCATACAAGAGTAGATTGTCAAGATTTGATCCCTTGGGAACTGAAACGAGCAAATATGTGGACGATGATTCGGGAGCTTGTAGAGATGTGGGACAGAAAGGAGGAGACAAAGGAGAAAGTCTGGAGCGGAGGTGAGATGAAGTGAAGTGGACGCCTCAGGCAGTTCTAGGGGGAGCTTTCAACTGTCCAAGTGAAGACAAGATATTCCAAGGCACAAAAATTTGTGAGAAGAGGTGCAGCGGTGAAAGTGAAGTGGCTGTGGGACAGTTGACCGCTTCACTTCTCGCTCAGGAGATCCGGTGATGACGAGCAGACACAGGATGCTTGGGACAGGCAGACGGCTGGGTTAAGAATACGACAATGAGGAAAAATTGAAGCAGGCAAAGATTGGAATTTTAATTACCAAGCAATATTTGATTGCCGTAGCTAAAGACGAGGATTGAAAGTGCGTGGGCTCAGAGGAAGAGAGATGATGATACGACGCAGATTGTCTGCTGCACACCGACTTCTCGGCTTTCTGAAGAGGTGACGCGTCTTGGATCTTCGAAATTCTGGGCGGCTGCAAAGACAGATCAAATAACAAAGGCGGATTTGTTTTGTGGCCGTGGCAACCAGCCTGGCAGTCTTGACAGCTGGTGGCAGAGTTACTTGGTGGCAGAGTGTCGAATATGCGGATGGACGACTGGCAGTTACTCTCGCTATGGTACTGGCTCGATCTGCTGTAGGAAGAGACAATTATAAGATTAAATTTGGTGAAAAGAAGAGCGTGTCTTCATTTATACTACTTTAAATCATCTGATGACGATGTGATTAGTGCTGTAGTGGATTAGGGACTGGTTGGTGTTTATTAACTCAGCACTTGGTACTATCAGCGATTTAACTTTATACGAGTAAATCAAGGAAGTAAATGGATCATAAGGATTGTGTGAATTGTGTGATTAAACCTCCACGAAACTAAATCTGTCGATGGACTGTGTCTTATCCGATCCAGCTTTAATATAGATACTCAGCACCTTGATAGCTCGAATATCGTACTCAGCATGTTCTTAGCCCAACTATCTCTTTAAATGGCAGTGAATACCCACGGCAACAACAGCAAAGATGCCCTCAAAAGCTTCTTCAGAAAGGAACACCATCCTCATCCTCCGACTTCATACCCATCTTAATATCATCATCCTCCTCGCTCTTCTTCACGTCCGAATCGTCACTCTCCCCCTTCTTGACAGCCGTCTTCTTCGGGGTTCTCCCTCTCGGCTTCTTGGTCACCTTGCCATCGCCAGAAGGACCAGTGACATCCTTCTTCCCCTTGCTGGGACTGTTGCTGCCCGGCGCAGCGTTGGGGCGCCAGCCGTGGCGGACAGACATCTGGCGGAAGCGCTCCTTGGCACATTTTGCGTCCTTGAGGCCCAGGTCGCCGGCGACCTTGTCCCAGTCGGCGTCGGGCTTTTGGGTCATGTTGTCGAAGACGGCTTTGATGAAGCGGAGTTCGTTCTCGCTGAGGCCGCTGACGGTGGGGGTGTCGGAGCTGGATGCTTTCTTGGGAGGCATGATGGATGGGTGGTAGTCTGGGGCTGATGGTTAGATGGCATCAAACAGTGCAGAGAGAAGGGATGAAAGTTACTTTGACTGTAAACTTACGCCAAGTGGGTAGTATCGTATTGAGCAGCGATATAGCTGAGTTGAGAAGCTCTGAGCTGATGGATGTCTTGGTAGACAGAGCAGTGTTGTGATGGGAGAGTTGTGGGTGATGGAATGGAGATGCGATTCGTAAAACGAGCAAGACCGTGCCTGCGAAAGAAATAGAAAAATCCACTCCCAGGAAATTAAGCCCTGCGCACTATATCACTTTGCTCCAGCAGCAGAGTAAAAGTGAAAGCTTGGGGCGGTCAAAGTGAGTGGCTCTTCGGCCAGCGGTCAGCTGCCAGCTGCTGGAGCGTGACGAAATGACTGGACTGGCATAACGGTGCTGTGTGAGTATGGCAGTCACTGAAGCAAACAAAGAAGGGATTTCTGCGAGCGGATAACAACGAGGAAGACAGTTTAGAAGTGATGAAAGTATCCCAATTTGTGAGCTCCTAATCTACTTGCCAGTTGGATGTCGTCCAAGCTCTAATAAATATACCCATTTGCACTCCCGGCAGCATATCATACCGTCTGCGCCATACTATATCCCTTGTGGCATTGCCCAAGGTCATAGCCGTAAATCATATGATCATTCAAGTCTTCAAGAAACGCTAAAATTATATGCCAATTCGAAAGAGAAAAAAGATAAAAAAAATGAAAGCCTTGTAGTTCTGCATTGAGAGGCTGCAAAACACAAGGCAAATTATTGGCAGTATCTCAGCAAGTGAGATACAGTCAGGACCAAAAGATAACAAACGCAAAATAAGCTCGCTTGAACGCGCCAAAGGTCAGCAAATATGCTGCCCTCCACATATGTCGAAACGCTATGTGAAGGATCTAATTCAAATTCAAGCTTCAAGAGCATGCTACGCTTCTCTGTATCCAAAACTATAATCTCTGTCAGTCATGGCAGTAAACGTGCAGCATATTAGCAGGACTTACTCTGTTGGATATGGGTCTGTCGCATCTGTGCCGTTATGTGCAGCTAGAGCTAAAACAGCCTCATCGTCGAGAGCCGAATCTTGGGTTAGATCGTGAGGTTCTAGTCTCTGACGCTTGGCAGGATGTTCATCTGTGTCTTCATCGCCACTCTGTACGGGATCTAGCTGAAGTTGGTCTTGAGAAGTTGCCGAGTCAGCCTCAGCGTCAGCCTCGGACTCGGCTAGATGACTGGAATCAAGGTGATTTGAAGCTTGAGCAGAGATATTGACGCCTTCAGACATCTCCGCTTTGAGCATCTCCTCTTTGAGCTGCGGTGGAATCTGAGACTGGTGTTGTAATTGCTGCTGGAATTGCTGATGCTGAAACTGGTGTTGATGGGGGTGTTGAGACTGAAGTTGCGGATGTTGATTCTGCTGGATAGGCATGGCATGAGGAGCCATCTCTGGTCCCTGTCCGGGTATAGAGTGATTAGGTACCATAGTCCCAGGCACCATAGTCCCAGGCACCATAGGCCCAGGAAGCATTGTAGGGGCAGTAGGAGAGATGATGGTGGGAACGTTAGCAGGAACAACCGTGGGGGAAGCCTCAGTATCAGTAGCACCATCAGCGTCGTTTGCGCCGGGCTGAGCTGCTTCTGAAGCTTGTGACTTGCGAGGGCGGCCTCGACCAGGGCCTGGTCTTCTCGTTATGGGATTCAGGGTTGGGTCTGCGCGCCGAGCGCTATCAGAGTGAGAGCCATCCGCTTCATTCTTATTTTGAGCTCTCCTGAGGCCCTGAAAGTGCTGTCTGTGGAGATGTTGTTAGCCACTGTGGAACCAAAGAAACAGTCATGGAGAGATAGTGGTGATGTTTGTCGTGGAATTGGTCTAAGTGAAGGGATAGAAGATGTATATGTAGATGAATTCATGCCTCTAAGATACAAGGGGTGATGAGCATATACGCGACAGGAGTGATTGGTGTAAGTAGACAGGTATTTCAGAGGGTGTGTAAAAGCAGTGGGGATGGGTATTGCTGAGAATAAGGAATATGGTACAAAGGACCCATGGAAGCAGTTCGTCTTTGGTACAATATTGATGGACGATGGTCTGAATAGCATCCATTCGCGATGTATGTGTGACAGACATTCGCCAGGTCAAAGCTCACGCGACTGCGATCTCATGTGACCAATTGAGCATAGACGAGGCTGAGATCAGGTCGAATTGGATGATAAACAAGCTAATAGATCATGATAAAAGGTACCTACCGACATCCTTCATTGGTAAAGCCATAGCCGAGGCCACGCATATAATTGCCGATGGTGGTCCATTCGGCTCCGCTAATCACGCCAATGTTTTTGACGGATAAGATGGTGAAGAACAGATCTTTATCTGCCCTGTCATTCCAGTTCTTGTTCATAGTATCGAAATGATATCACCGCCCAGCAGAGACCATGTAGCAAAAAAACAAACAAGCCCAAAAAAAGGTAAACAAGCGAGTACCGGAGGGCGGTGGGTCGTCGATGCTCTAGGCTGGATTGTCTTGGTGGCCAGCGGTGAGATAGAAGCTGTTAAGAGCAGAGGGCAATCAAGGGCAAAATTGGTAGTGGGAGAATGGGGTACGGATGTACGCAGAGGAGGATGTTGGGATGGGAGGCCCGTGCACCCAGGAAATAGGATGGCCGGAGCGCGGATCAAGAGATAGTCCGCGCATGTAAGTGGTGGGAGCTGGCAGATGCATGCTGTGTAAGTGTCCCGCCAAACGCCGACACAGCGCGTAGTACAAGCTGCAAGATGGCTGAAAAGAGCGAGCTCGTGCTTCTACCAGCGTCTACAATATACCCTCTGCTTTCTCCGCCAAGATTACAAGCTTGCCTGCGACTTGAGAGCGGCATGTAGCATATTGAGGGCGGCGATGCTGCGACTTAGCCGGCATTGGCACGGGGTTTACCCGTCAAGGTTTCCTTTTTCTGCTCAATTACCCTCCCTCCCTTTGCTCTCTAGCGCCAATAGAGGGGAACGGCCTGATTCCAGTCTGGTCGCCGGAGAAGAGCTGATGACGCCAGTACGGAGAGCCCCGAGCAAGCGCCGGACGAAAAGAGCAAGCTGTCGGACGAAAGTAATGCCACAGGCTCGCTGGAGCCCCGGCCAGTGAGTCAAAAGCGCAGCAACATTATTAATGAGACGCAGGGAGATCTGCACCTGCAGCCGTCTTTTGCTTTAGTCGCAAAAAAAGAAAAGAACACACGAAAGCTCTGTCATTACAAAGTATGGGGTTCATAGGTGGATGTCGGATGTGTAGGAGCAGGAGGAAAGCTCAAAAGAGACGATGCAAGAACATTAATGTAGGACGACGGGATATCCCGTATTCCATATCATATGAAAGATCTGATACTGCATTGGGTGATATAGCAGGTAGGAGGCATAGCAGTATAAATGTATAGTTGGCAGAATTACTGGTAGGGTGCTGTAGTAGAGGTTTGGTTAGTAACAAGTCTCCCGATCTACACTGGTAGCACCAGTGGTGAGCATCGAAACAAGCGAGAGACAGCATGGCCTATGGTATCTCGCATCTATCGAGCCACTGCAGCGCCAACGGCAATCTCAGAACGCCGCAAAAAGCCTGTTACTAATCCTGCAGGCAGATCCCATACCAAGATACGAGTTCACGTCATCCCTGAGCACAGCGACATTTCCCAGACGAAGGGCTCAGTTGGACTCCCTGTCGCGTCTTTAGTCTGGCGCCTCTGGTTGGTCATCGCCCACCGCCCCACAGTCCAAGCGGTCTCACGTGCTTTCGCGAAAACCTGGCGACGCAGCAGGTGGATCCCCTCGTTGCTTCCCCAAAAATTTCGCGCCCCATCGCGTCTCCCCGACGCACCTCATCCGAATCCCCTCCACGACGCCCAGATTAGCTGCGACGCCCGGATGCGACCATGGAGGCTGGTGAAAGTGGCATCAATGGGGTTTGAATAGTCGATTTCATAATATCGTAAATTTTCCGCATTTCCTTATGTCGTCTCGTTGTGAAGTTGACACTCGAAAGTGGCAGCTTTTGTTGCTACGGAAAGCTCAGAAAAACTTCGCCCCTCCTCGCATGGTAGCCCGCTAGCTCCGAGCAACACAGACAAGGGCGATGAAAACGACCGGTCGGTGAGGATGGGATGGGAATGGGATGTCCCCTAGCTAGATTTGGTTGGGGCCTGTAATAATTCACTTGCTACGCTCACGGCCGGCAGGAAGGCGCAGCATTTTTGATGAATCTAGATTGAGTGAGGCAAAGGGAGCGAGCGAGGTTATAGCGAGATCAGATAAGAGTACGACAATCGACAAGTAGAGCGAATACTGCGCTTAGATCAATTGCCAGCATCAGAATTGGCTTGATTGACGGGACCTGAGTATCATAATTACGACTAGGCTAATTGATAGTCTTGCGACAGCATCTTGGTTGGCCCAATGACAGTCGAAAGGATGAGCATCGCTGCGTGGAGCTGCGCTCGCTCGCCCAAAGCTTCTTCTTTCTATCGCAACGCCCCTCCTCTTGCATGCGTAATTTTACCGCTACGCATTAGTCTTTGCTTTTTGCTGGGAAATAATAGATGAGTCACACGGGAGTTTCACTTTCATTTTTTTCTTATGCCGGATGAGGAGCCCCTGGTTTGCCTTATCCTTTTGTTAGATGTGATTCGCTTTCATGAACTTGGCTGTGACGTTGGAATTTGGGCTGCTTCGGAACGCAGGTGCTTGCTTGGCACATGCGGTCGCACCAATTTCAGAAGCTGTACAATCCCAATGCAATTTGGGTTGAACTCTATGACGAAGAATAAAAATAAAACGAAACTAAAAAGTGATATCAAGATCCGAGATTTGGAAGCAACGCCAGCAAATCAAGCTCTCTCTTTTCTTTTTCTATGAGTAGTCCATTCAGTTGTCGCCACCGTCTCCCGCAATCAGAAGTCAGCCAACTTCCATCAGTGGCTTACAGGGGGCCACACCAACTGACAGCGGCCCTTTCAGCGCACCCCCTCCATCCCTGTTTAGCGGACGGCCTGCCACTTTACGCGCTGCAGCCCCGTCCAGTCCCACCGTACCACCCGCCTTTCTCCCTCCAGAAGCCGGAGCCCAGCGCCCAGATCCAGGCAACCGCAGGCCCTAGGCCAGAAGATATCTCTGATTTGGTCTTAGACATGGCCTTTTGGGAGGGGGGGCGTCCATCCGGCATGCGGATTTCTCAGCCCGACGGCAAGTAGTGAAAAGGCAAAAAACGAGACGAGCGAAGCAAATGTAACACCAGATGGAGTACGAAGGGGGCCCTTGCTGGGGGAGCTTCGTTCCTGGATCCTTGCAGGTGACTTTATCGAGCTTTTTGCCGCTAGCTGAGGCTGTTTATAAGAGACGGCCGTCCTGCTGGTTCCTGGCTTCGTCCTCTCTCTCTTTTCTGGTCTCAACCCGTGAGTGTCTAGTCTGAAGCCTTGCTCGTCTATTCGTCATCGTCATTGTGCGTTGAAAATCGCATTGTTTCTCGGCTGTCAATAGGAAGAGCCTCAAGTTTGATCTTCACTTCGATCTCACCCGGTTCTCGATCTGTATATCATTCACGCAGTTTCGAATCGCCCTCGTCTCCGCCTTTTCCCTCCATCTCTTTTGATAGATCATAAGCTTTTAATCTCATCATACGAATTTCCCATCCGACGATATCTTCGATACTTCGCCATCTTTTTTCTCTTGCTCTTTGATTCGTAACTTGCGAATTCATCGCCACATCCCGGGGAAGCAGTCGTTGCCCCTAGGCAGCTCGGCATTGTTCTATATTCAGCTTTCTTGCTACATTATTTGCTTCGAGCCACATCTGTCGGGCCGTTAATTCTACTTTTGCAATTACCTCATCATCTTCTCAACGCAAACAACACATTCCGCAACAACCTTGTCATCATGTCTCCTAACAGCGACAATGCCATGGCCCGCTTCTTGTTCGCCATCCTGAAGCAGAAGAACCTCAGAGACGTAGGTTTTGCATCTCTTCAGGCTACAACCGATAATGATTCTAACTCTTCATCTCTTCTAGATTGATTGGAGCCAGGTAGCCGCCGATCCCGTCCTCATAGAGCCTATCGCCAATGGCCACGCTGCCAGAATGCGCTTCTCCCGTTTTCGATCAACAATCACCGGCCACAAGCCGACAAAGAGAGGAGGCAAGCCATTTGATAAGAACCGAGTCTCCAAGTCATCGAAGAAGGAGACACAGTCCAAGAAGGAAACGCCCATTAAGCCAGAGCCCGGCTCATCCAACATCTCTTCGTACCCTCTGGTAAGATTGGCTGTCTAGCATAATCTCCGTTACATGCGACTAACAACTAGGTGCAGTTTTCTCCAGAGTCTTTTGCGTCACTCACATCTCCTTACATGGATGATGCGTCTCCCTACCTTCAAGACGGTGATGATTTCAGCGGCCGCTTTCTCACACCGTGTAGCGATGACATGGCTCAAGGCCTGTCCATCTCTCCCTCTGTCCTCCAAGATCTTCAACCTGCGAATGGTCTGATGTTTCCTCCTCTCGATGGCAACTCGGATTTTATGAACCATGCCGGCCATGACCACGCTTTCGATGTTGCTTTCGATTTGAACCGATTTACCTCAGGCGACGTCAACAGCCAGGGTGTATCTCAGTCTGGCGGCTCCCAGCCTCTTGGCGGCGACTGGGACGACCGACACTTCTGAGCTGGTTTCATTTAGCACTTTCTTTTCTCAAGCGATGTGTTATGAATACAAAAACAAAAAATCGACCAAAAAAACAATTCCAAGGAAGTCTGGAGCGCGGTTAAACTTGCTTTTATGATTTGATGATTTTAGCCACGGCGGGTGGCCAATTGGTTTCGGGTATATATCCCCATTTCCTCTCTACGGAGAGAAGAACGGATCGGTTAGGTATTTGGAAGACGTGAAAATTACTATAAGGGCTTATAATAGCATGTGTATAATTAGCGAGGATAAAAAGGATCAAGAGTATCCGTCCTCTTTATATTTTTTTCTTTTTCTTTTTTCAGCCATCAGGATTCCGATATAGCTTAGTAGTACCAATGCAAAGCCAGCTATTGAGCGCTGAATGCTATCTTCTTGCTTTTGTGATAATGCAAAGCCAATCCTGCAGAAAGATTAATTCTTCAAAGAATATTAGCTGCCGTCATCTAGAATAACTATTTCAACAAGTACAATATCCTTAATAGGTAGGCTGGCATATTAGATATGTACTTCTGCCCTCTTTATCTCAATTATTTTATTCAAAAGCCATTAGAGTATTTTCAATGTATGTAAAGGTAGCTACCCTTATCCAATAACCTCTCAAAGCCATTCAGCCCCAACAACCGCAAAATAGCAACATTTTGCCAATACATTCTATTGTTCTATGAACTGCATGCGTGATTCACTTTGCAGCCGAGTGGCTTAAATTCAACTGCTGCTAACACCAAAGTACACCGCCAGTTGTAACAGCTGGCGTTTGGTGTCAAAGCACGGCCATTCTTTCAATTTCTAGAAATCAAACAGATTTCTGGTGGCAGCTATTAACCCAGGTATAAATTTCCTGCTTTTTTCACATCTCTCTTTCTTTTGTTCTCTCAACCTAAACACAAACATATCCAAGCTTTTCCCGCACCGCACAACTTGAGCAGATTTTATCCCCTGCTCACCAACAAATCATCAAGTAAGTAAAGCATTTCAGCTATTCCATCTTGGATTTACAAGTAGGTCTTTGTTAATATTTCCATCTTTCTTTTTTTCTTTCTTTTTTAGAATAGGAAGAAACAAATACATTAACATTGTCTTTAATTTCTGTTCCTTTACTGATATTAATCTGCAAGAAGCCCTATCCTCAAGTCCTCCTTTCATCCACCAAAAGCACAACGAATTGAGCCATGGCCGACAAAACTCCAACCAAGCGTCCAGAGCCTACAGCTTCTGAGGCCATGTTCTTCTTCGCCATTGTCAAGCACACTCGCAACCGTGCGGACATTGACTGGGACGCCGTTGCTCAAGAGCAGGGCTTCAAGAACGCCGAAGTCGCCAAGGTTCGTCTCTTATCGTCTAAGAAACATCCATTTCCCCTACCATACTTATCTTTCCTTTCATCTAACTTGATTCCTTGCATAGGTTCGCTTTGGTCAAGTCAAGCGCAAGCTCGGCATCGACCCCAACGTCACCCCAAAGAAGGGCAGCAATGCCTCTCCCGGCGGCGCCTCGACTCCCAGCAGGGTCCGCAAGACGCCCACCGGCCGTACTGGAACCAAAGGCAGAGGCCGTGGCAGTCGTGCCAAGAAGGAGAACGACGAAGCCGCCGCAGCTGAGGCTGAGGCTGGAGACGACACCACCACTGCTGTGGAATCTTCACCCTTTGGCAAAGGAGAAGAGGATGACAGCATCAACTTCAAGGCTGAGCATGGCGAGGACCCTTTCTAAAGCCTTTAGGGTTAGGGTTCACCTCTGGGAAGCTTTCCCCAGGCGCCCATCTGCTATACCCACCTTGCTTTTTGAGGAAGAATATGGGATATCTATTGTTTGCCATCTGGAATCATATTTGCTCAGATATTGATGCATTACAGTCAAGATTGGAGTGACTAGCTGCGTGGAAGGGAACTTTAAGATGAATTTGGAGATAATGGCTACGGAAAGTAAGCAACACAGCACCTAGTTGAGATATGGTGGCAATTGAATTGAGGCCTTCTCAGGTATTCAAGCATATACACTTAATTCTCCATTATAGTATCCTTTATGTGCTTGCGGCCTTGATTACCCTGTGCTCTTGTGTTTATTGTCATCACCTTGGCCGTTTTTCTTCCTCGACTACCTTTGAATACCTACACCTTTCATCTGCTAGACACGAGCATGAAGTGACTTTTCTCTCAAGCCCAATTCACTTCTCTGCTTAGAGCCTGACATTCGCCTTACCGTTGGCACCCTTACACCGCCAATCTGCTTCCAACCAATACATATACCACCAACAACCCAATCCACAGCTTATTATCTTCAAGCCTTCAAACTAGACAAAATTAAGAACAATCAACGCATTTGCCAATCTCAATTCAACAAACAAAACATTCATCATGCCTCGCAAAGCTGCTTCGGCCAATTCGGCCCCAGGTCTGGCCTCTTCCGCTTGGGACAAGGTCGACTTCCTCAACGACCTGCTCGTCGCCTTTTACCAAGCGGGCAACCATACCAACAGCTTCAATCCGCAGGTCAACACTGCCATTGTCGAGTTTCTTACTTCTCGAGGCTACGATACTTCGTGGAGCGCCATCCGGTAAGAGGGCTGTTTCTTCTGTGTTATTTTTTTATATTGGTTTATTATGTCTTCTTTTCCTTCCCTCTCCTGCTCTTTTTCACACCACCACATAGATGTGATTTTGTTGCCAAAATGCAACAGTCTTCACCGCTTACAGCCATTTCTCCAAAAAGCAAAGTCATGTGCAAGCGGCACGGCACGGCATAAAAGCATGCCTTTCTATCAGTTCCTCACTCTCAATTCACTGAATCTTTGTCTTTTCATCACCTCTTCTTCTCCTCTTCCCATTCCTTCACTCTTTCATAACATCTCTATATCCCAAGACTTTCATCTCTCAGCTTTTGCACTTACAAAAACCCACCTTTGTTCAACTTCAAGATCACCATCTACACCCAAGCATCACCAACCATGTCTGCTTCTCGTCAAATCATGAAATGGAGCCCTCAAGTCCACGAAGACATCCTCATCGCCACGTTCTGCAACCTGAGCCTCTCTTCAGAGCAATGGGCCAAAGTCATGGCCGATCTCAGCAAGATGGGCTACACCTTTTCCGAGGGCGCGCTTCGGTACGTTGAGATTTTGGGCCAATGGCATTTCACCAATGGCAGTTCACCCATGGCAACGAGGCCTGCATATACCGGCCTGCATATATCGGCCTGCATTCAACACCCCTGGCACCTGTGTTTCACTCTGCCAGTTGGGGCGGAGAAGACATGGAGAATGCATAGCAGAGGAAAAAAAAGAACGGCAGAACTGCTCGCCTATTTGATGCACTGCATTCACTCTTATCTGACCTGTGCACTACTCCATTCCCTTACATATATGCACCACACTCTTTCCATCCCATCACGCACTTCTTTCTCTTCAGCATTCACTCATCAACCCATCATATCAACCATCTCCATCCAAGCCTCAACCTTTTTCTTTCCCACTATTCATCAGCCAAAACTTCATTCTTTGCCATCTCAAGTTACAATGGTCGCACCAAAGTCCAAAGATGCCATGCCATCGGGCAGCAAGCCCACCCGAGGCTGGGACGCGGCTGCTCACGAAGCGCTTCTCTTGTGCGTCATTGATGAAATCAAAGGCGGCAAGGCTTTCTTGACGGAAGTCACTAGACGGATGCAAGAACGCGGATACAGCTACAGCTACGATGCCATAAAGTACTTACAAGCAACTCTTTCTTCTTCTTCTTTCGACAAAGCCTTACACTGTTTCCTTTCAATTTGTCTATTTGAAACAAAAATAAAAGAAACTGTCTGCATTGCTAACATCTTATGCCTTCTCTTCTACTCTAGTCAACATGTTCAAAAGTTGCGCAAGGCTCGCGACACCAATGGAATCGTCACCGCGTCTGATCCGTCCGCTGCTGGAACCTCCAAGGCTTCCGCCACTCCTCGCAAGGCGGCGGCTACTCCTCGCAAGCGCAAGACTCCAGCCAAGAAGGAATTCGACGAGGATGACGAGGACGACGACGTCAAGCTCAAGTTAGAGCAGGCCGCCGAGGACGATGGGATGGACAGCCCATCTATCCGTCCCTTCAAGCGCGCCAGAGCCAGTGCTGCGTAAGTATTCTTTTTACGAAAAGTACGCCTTCTTCAATCAGTCAGATCTATAATTCTAACATGTATCTTTCTCCTTCTTCATTTCAGGTCTTTCGACGGATTTGGTAGCCTGCCCAATCCAGATGAGATCTAAGCTTACATCAAGAGCTGGCTGAGTGGAAGGAAGCCACTGTGGAGGGACGATTCTTACGTTATTATTGGAACTTCAATGGGTATTTGGCAAGGGACTGGAAGGAAATGAAATGCATCTAGGAAATGGTCAAGGCGGCATCTTATTACGAAGCGAACATTCAAGCAAGTATATACCGTCTCATAACGACAGGGAACAATTGCAACACAAGGATTCTATTATTGGCGCTATTGGTCTTCAAAGTTGTGAAGGTGATGTCTCGTAGAGAGAGAACAGATAAAATGATGTTTCTCTGTCTGCAGGCTGGTATTCTTCATGCCCAGTGTAAGCACCTAATGGCTATGGGGCTTTTAGGTCAACGTAACTTGGAGGGCGGCTAGTTGCCATCTCAAGTACGCCTTCATCGTGACTTTTCCAGTAATTTACCAAATGCTACAAAAGAGAGTAATTCTCCAGCAAAATCAGAAGAAACCATTGGAGATGGGCTGCTTAGAAAACCAATGACCCTCTCAGACGGTCAACCTGGGATACTGATCAAGTTGATGTTAAACAAGCTGAGAATGGCAAGGGTTTTCATCAGCTGTCACGCGTCAAACTATGAGACATCACAAGTGCAAATCAAACGGACAGATAAAAGTGGTTGAGCGGATTGGCTCTATTTTTCATGGCCATGATACTATCATATAGGCTCAGTATGTACCAGAGCCTATGAAGCTAAAGCTACTAGCAGAAAGTTTGCATCGCCAGATCCATAAGGGCATTAATTTTTTTTCCCCAAGGGGGTTGGAGTATCTTTAGGGGTTGGAGTATCTTTTTTCTCTCCATTTCGGTTCCAAGCTCGGAAATACACAGCATGAGATCTATCTTCATGCTGGCGTGCGGTAGCTGTTTGCACCCTGCTTTCTCTTTTTCTGGTGGTTGTTTTTTCGTCTTGACAGTGTAGTTACGCCCATCACTGGGCCCATCTAGCCCGAGTCAAACGCTTATTTCTTGGAGGCATCGACCTTGGCAACGTGCTCCAAGAGGTCGAGGACACGGCGGGAGTAACCCCACTCGTTGTCGTACCAGGCAACAAGCTTGACGAAGTTGGGGTTCAGGGAGATACCAGCCTTGATATCGAAGATGGAAGAGTTGTTGTTGCCGAGCATGTCGGTGGAGACGACCTCATCGTTGGTGTAGGACATGATTCCTATGACAGAGTGAGTTTTCTGTTGCTTTTGTT